AGTGTATGTTAGTAATTAGGCAATAATCCCTTGATATTTTTAAACCAGCGCCTGAAGACAAGTTTTAGAACTCGGTAAGATCTTTCCAACGAGATACTAAACGCTTTCAACAGCACAAAATAGAGCAATATATGATCGCATTTGATTTTACACGAGTTCGGAGTGAAATCAGAATCCGTTTCGAGCGTATTATATCTCGTTGGAAAGATAGATCGGAGCTCTAAAGCTATTGTACCAACTTCATTTACAATGCATTAATTAAAAGTTACAGATTAACCATATATTCACAAATGTTTCTGATTTTACTCCGAACTCGTGTAGAATTTGATGCGATCATATCTTGCTCTATTTTGTGCCGCTGAAAGCGTTTAATATCTCGTTGGAAAGATCTTACCGATTTATAAAACTTGTCTTCAGGCGCTGGTTTCAAAATATCAAGGGATGATTGCCTAATTACTAAAGTACACTGTATTTACGCTAAAAGTGCTCTATTTTCGCTGAAAACGCTAAATCATAGAGATAAGGCTAAGTATTTGTGACACTCATATCTTGCTGTGTGTTTATCCATTTGGAGCGTATTATATCTCGTTGGAAAGATAGATCGGAGATCTAAAGCTATTGTTCCAACTTTATTTACAATGCATTAATTTAAAGTCACAGATTAACCATATATTCACAAATGTTTCTGATTTCACTCCGAACTCGTTTAGAATGTGATGCGATCATATCATGCTCTATTGTTTGCCGTTGAAAGCGTTTAATATCTCGTTGGAAAGATCTTACCGAGTTCTAAAACTTGTCTTCAGGCTCTGGTTTCAGAATATCAAGGGATGATTGCCTAATTACTAAAATACACTGTATTTACGCTAAAAGTGCTCTATTTTCTCTGAAAATGCTAAATCATAGAGAAAAGGCTAAGTATTTGTGACACTCATATCTTGCTGTGTGTTTAGAGCATCACCAATGGGCTCACCCTTCACATTAAAAAAATGCTACGTAAGCATTGTTTAACATTGCAGTGGTCTTTTCTCTTTCAATGCAAGATGTTCACACTCATAAAATGCTGACATGTTAAAAATAAATTTAGACATTGTCTTCCTCACGGTCATCGGATAACAGCCCCATTCACATGCTGACTCAGCAAACTAGCAAACGTGAAGCATATAGCACCGCATTTACAGGAATTCCGGAACTTCTCCCGCCGATTAATTTCACATGCCCGCCAAAAATTCACTCAGCCCACCTTCCCTCTTCTTTAAAGCTTCTAGGAGTCCCCCTTTTGGTTTAAAGCTTCCGGAGATCAGAGTTCAAGGTAACAAATTTTTCACCTTCTTTTTTGCGATTCCTTTGGTATTTCGATTCTTTTCATTTCTGCGATTCCCCTCAGGCCGGATGCAGTAAAGTGGGTAGGGGAACCAGAGCTGGCACCCTGCCTTCTCCGCCGATCCACACGATATAGCCAGTTAGCTACACACGTATGATAGATGATACAGTATGTTTTAAACTCAAGGATTAATAGTCTAGAATCTCTGGCTGATAAATGATACAATATGTTTTAAACTCAAGGATTCAGCTGCTTACAATTGTTAATCACGGGATTCACTTTTGAGCAGCTGTAACCTGTTGCGCAGTTCAATTGTAATATCACTATTAGATCAATTGCCATAATGATGACTTTAGAATAATAAAGTTGCTAGTTGCTACTACCTCACCCTCTTATTAAATTTCATTTATTGCTAGGAAGTTTGCTCACTGATTTCTTTTGTGAAGCACAGATGCAAATACTGATTTTTTACATTGTTTCTTTTATTGCAGAATCTTTTACATTAATGTTAAAAAGTTGCTGCCAAAAATGGTTAAAACAGAATAAGAAATGACAGTTTGATAAAAATTTAATGGTTTATAACTAGATTACGCTTGCCTCTTGATTATGCAGATATACAAAGCAATGGACTCACAAGACCCCGAGACCTTCTCTTCTTCTCAGTACCAATACATTCACACAATACCATCCCAACTCTCAAGCCAATCACTTCACTCAACCCCACCAATTCAACCAGCTTACAACTACAACCAAAGCAATGGAATATATCCTTATTTTGTTGATCAATATGGATCTAAAATACCATTCCAAAGTTTATTGAGTTCTCTAATGTTGAATACTCCAATGGACAGTGCTCAAATTGAGAGTTCAACAAAAAGGGCAAAAAAGAAAGGTATTGATACCGGGACGGACTCTCAAGTTGCAATTTCGAAAAAAGAATGGAGCAAAGAAGAGGATGTAGCATTGACGAATGCGTGGTTACACGTATCAATGGATTCAGACATTGGAAATAATAAAAAAAGTACTGCTATGTGGGTGAGAATTGTAGAAGCCTTTAAAGAGAATATGGGAGCTAGATGCCATCGTCCTAGAAACAACAACAGCTTGCAATGTCATTGGCAAAAAATACAAGCAGCGGTGAATAAATTCATTGGATATTATGAGCGATTGGATAGGCACCCACAAAGTGGCACAAACTTGGATGATTTGGTAAGAATGTTAATACTTTGGTACCTTAAGTATATTTAATTATCGCATGGTGATCCATTTGACTTTTTATTTGAAATACTCTGACTTCATAGCCTCAATTTTGTGTGTATTTAAAAAAAATAAGTTAAGTAATTTTTCTTTGATTTTTTAAATTGGTTTCTTATTGAAGGTGCACTATATTAAAGATTTAAGGAAGACCGTTCAAGTATCTTCACTTTTTTTTTTTAATTTTTTTAGATAAATAAAGCGATGGGATTATATGAAGATATTCAAGGAAGCCCATTCAAGTATCTTCACTGTTGGGAAATAATGATAAAAAATCCAAAATGGTACTCACAATATGTGAAGCCTCCTAAAACAAATCAAAAAACAGTTGATATCTCCGACTCACCGATAGCAGAAGATCATGTACCAAGTGTTGATGAAGAAATTATGCCCTCTGGAGGCATTAACTCAGATGGGCTCATACGTCCTCAAGGAAGAAAAGGTTGTAAGGATAAAAAGAGAAAGTTAAATGAGGAAAAAAGTGTGGTGGATGCATTGAACAAGCTACAAAGTACTTTAGAGAAACAAGTTAGTGCAAATGTTAGAGCTTTGGAGATGAAAGAGCAAGTGATTAGAAAAGAGATTGAGCTAAAAGAGAATGCTCAGAAGATGAGGTTAGAGAGACATATTATGAATCAAGATCTAAGTAAGCTCTCACCAGCTGTGCGAGAGGCATATGAAGTCATGCAAGAAAATATTCTAAAAGAATGGAAAAAAGACGGCTTCTTTTGATCTAGTAGGTAAATAATAAATACATATTTTATCCGTTTTGTATCAAATTTGAATGAATTTTGACTAAACTAATAATGATCATTTCTTTTTGTGCATGTCCAGCACTTGACGCTCAAAATTGCACTTCTTTGGGACGCGTCTCTTTCATAACCTAGCCATTTTTTTATTGTCATGGATAGTTTCTTTCGAAGTGGGATTAGTCTAGCAGGCTATTTCATCAGCAGCAATTTACCTTGAGTTCTGATTGTTTATTGTTTTGAAAGTGTTTAGCTTGTAGGATGTTTAATTAGCAACAATTTATTCTGAAAGAGTTTAGTATTTTGAAAGTGTCTTAGTTTTTTAATCAAATAGTTGAATTCTGCATTTAAATTAATAGGAAACGAGCATTTATTTGGGAAGTGTGTCTTTATTTGGTGATTGTCCAGGATATCTTCTTGCTAGCCTGTATTTGATCTTTTTATATTGAGCATATAGTTCATTGTTGTGAAAATCCCAGCCTATCACTTTTATCACATTTGTTTCTCTTGAATTATGATTTGGTACTATTTTGAAAGTGTTTAGACGGTAGGATGTGTTTGGTAGTCAAAAGTGACTCATTTGTTTATAACTACCTCTGAAGATGTTATGAAGTTGTGTTTTGTTAAACAAAAATTAAAAAATGTGATGAACTCAATACTGATAGCTTTTAATCTGGCTAGCACATATTTAATCCTGGGCACCTCCTACCAGGATGCCAACAAGGGAAACAACCCAGATTGCTGGCCACAATTTTGAGAGTTTCTGGAAGCAAGGGGAGGCAGCCCTCTAACTGCTACTTTCTGTACTCCTAAGCGAGAGGGATGAGTGAGGCCTAGTGAACTCACAACTGATGTAATTGCCATTTAATTTGATCATAAGAGGGATAATTTGATGATAGAGTTAATATCAAGATTTCAACAACTAGATGTCTGCACAAACTGAGGTGCTTAGCTTCCTGCTTACCTAAATAGAGTGGCCAGAAGTTCAAATAAAAAAATGTCTACGAAAACTTTATCCTTAGTTCAAATACACCATAAACCAAAAACAATGCAATAAAAGAGAACGCTCGAACATAGTATTACAGAACCAATTTATACTACGTATAAATTTATTTCTAGCTTTATGAGTAGTTCAAATAATCATCATGAAGTCATTTAAATAAAAGATCAATCACCTTGTTGGCCACCATGTAACTCCCACAAATGATTTATGAGATCGGTCTTTAACTCTCGGTGCAATCTTTTATTTTGTATCTCCTTCATTCGGCTATTCATCTTTGAAAAAAGAAAGTTAAAATCATGATCCGGAATAACATTGTCACTTGTATCTTCTCTCTCGGATTGCCAACTCTGAGGATCAATACCTTGATTATTCTCACTTTCAATAATCATGTTATGCAAAATGATGCATGTTTTCATAATCTTTACTAAATCTTTTGGGTTCCACATACGTCCTGGACCTTTGATAATATGCCACCGACTTTGGAGTACTCCGAATGCCCGTTCTACGTCTTTTCTCACAGATTCTTGATGTTTTGCAAATAATTTTTCCTTGAGAGAAGATGGATTTGAGATGGTTTGGATTAAAGTGGCATATTCTGGATAAATCCCATCTGATAAATAGTACCCCATATTGTAATGATGACCATTCACTACATAATTGCATAATGGTGCTCTATCATTTACAAGGTCATCAAATAAGGGAGATCTATCTAAAACATTAACATCATTATTTGTACCGGCCATTCCAAAAAATGCATGCCAAATCCACAAATTTTTAGAAGCTACAATTTCCAAAATAAGAGTTGGAACTCTTTTGAAGCCGTTAGTATGTGTCCCGTGCCAGGCTGTTGGACAATTTTTCCAATGCCAATGCATACAATCTATACTACCAAGCATACCTGGAAATCCACGGTCTTCTCCCTCTTTCAAAAGTCTTGCAACATCATCTTTGTCTGGCTTTCGTAAATATTGCTTTTCAAAAATATCAATTATAGCATCGCAGAATCGTTTCAAGCTCTCAATTGCCGTGCTCTCTCCAATTTGGACATACTCGTCAAGAATATCCGCTGCACAACCATATGCTAACATACGTATTGAAGCTATGATTTTTTGTAAAGGGCTCAACCCGGCTTTTCCGACCGCATCAACCTTTTGTGTAAAATAATCATCATAGGCCTCAATTTCTCTCAAAATACTTTGGAATAATTCGATGTCCATCCGAAATCGTCGACGAAATTTCTCAGGTGTATACTTTGAGTTCTCACCATTGAAATAATCGTTGACAATTAGATCATGACGTTCTTTCCTATCACGATTTATATACCGTCTACCACTTGTTGAACCGCCATGAGGACCTTTACTACATATTAACATAGGAGACAATATCAATGGGATGCGAACTGCACATGTCTCAACTACATCAATGTTAATTTCGCCATAAACGTCATCATCCCTAGATAATATAGGCGAATCATCGCTAGATGATGCACTATTGGAATCCGAGTCATAACTAGGTGTTGTCATTGTTGCCAAATTTAATCTGCTTACAAAAAGTAAATATTATTTTAAATAAATTATTAAGAGGCTCAATCAAAAAAAATATAATAAATAAAGAAATTAAATAATTTTATTCAAAGCATTTATTATATTTAAAATAATAAATATAGATCAATACATTGTGATACGTAAATGCCATACCTCTATTGATTCAACAATTTTAGAACCCAGGTGTTGTTTTATTGATTTTGATCGTTCAAAGAATTTCACTTGATATCAATTCTTTGAGGAAGCCGGCGCATGTGGAATGTGTTTAGGTATTTTAATTTGGTAGGATACGTTGGTGGTTATGGGCTGTTGACATCAGTCCGTTGCACATAAATTTTGGATTTCAATGTCCATCTACACTACTCCAATATGAGGTGGATGACTATTCCACTTATTAATTGACATGTGTCAAAAATTATAGGAAGTTAACAATATACCATTGGTGATGCTCTTATCCGTTTGGAGCGTATTATATCTCGTTGGAAAGATAGATCGGAGTTCTAAAGCTATTGTTCCAACTTCATTTAGAATGCATTAATTAAAAGTTACAGATTAACCATATATTCACAAATGTTTCTGATTTTACTCCGAACTCGTGTAGAATTTGATGCGATCATATCTTGCTCTATTTTGTGCCGTTGAAAGCGTTTAATATCTCGATGGAAAGATCTTACCGAGTTATAAAACTTGTCTTCAGGATCTGGTTTCAAAATATCAAGGGATGAATGCTTAATTACTAACATACACTGTATTTACGCTAAAAGTGCCCTATTTTCGCTGAAAACGCTAAATCATAGAGATAAGGCTAAGTATTTGTGACACTCATATCTTGCTGCGTGTTTATCCGTTTGGAGCGTATTATATCTCGTTGGAAAGATAGATCGGAGATCTAAAGCTATTGTTCTTACTTCATTTACAATTAATTATTTAATAGTTACAGATTAACCATATATTCACAAATGTTTCTGATTTCACTCCGAACTCGTGTAGAATGTGATGCGATCATATCATTCTCTACTTTGTACCGTTGAAAGCGTCTAATGTCTCGTTGGAAAGATCTTACCGAGTTCTAAAACTTGTCTTCAGGCTCTTCTTTTATAATATCAAGGGATGACTTCCTAATTACTAAAATACACTGTATTTACGCTAAAAGTGCTCTATTTTCGCTGAAAACGCTAAATCGTAGAGATAAGGCTAAGTATTTGTGACACTCATATCTTGCTGTGTGTTTATCCGTTTGGAGCGTACTATATCTCGTTGGAAAGATAGATAGGAGCTCTAAAACTATTGTTCCAACTTCATTTACAACGCATTAGTTAAAAGTTACATATTAACCATATATTCACAAATGTTTCTGATATCACTCCGAACTCATGTAGAATTTGATGCGATCATGTCTTGCTCTTTGTGGTGCCGTTGAAAGCGTTTAATATCTCGTTTGAAAGATCATACCGTGTTCTAAAACTTGTCTGCAGGATCTGGTTTAAAAAAATCAAGGTATTATTACCTTATTACTAAAATAAACTGTATTTACGCTGAAAACGCTAAATCGTAGAGATAAGGCTAAGTATTTGTGACACTAATATCCTGCTGTGTGTTTATCCGTTTGGGGCGTATTATATCTCTATGGAAAGATAGATCGGAGCTCTAAAGCTATTGTTCCAACTTCATTTACAATGCTTTAATTAAAAGTTATAGATTAACCATATATAAACAAAAGTTTCTGATTTCACTCCGAACTCGTGAAGAATTTGATGCAATCATATCTTGCTTTATTTTGTGCCATTGAAAGCGTTTAATATCTCGTTGGAAAGATCTTACCAAGTTCTAAAACTTGTCTTCAGGCGCTGGTTTCAAAAAAGCATGGGATGATTGCCTAATTACTAAAATACACTGTATTTACGCTAAAAGTGCTCAATTTTCGCTGAAAACGCTAAATCATAGAGATAAGGCTAAGTATTTGTGACACTCATATCTTGCTGTGTGTTTATCCGTTTGAAGCGTATTATATCTCGTTCGAAAGATAGATCGAAGATCTAAATCTATTGTTCCAACTTCATTTACAATAGATTAATTAAAAGTTACAGATTAACCATATATTCCCAAAGGTTTCTGATTTCACTCCGAACTCGTGTAGAATGTGATGCGATCATATCATGCTCTATTTTTTGCCGTTGAAAGCGTTTAATATCTAGTTGGAAAGATTTTACCGAGTTCTAAAACTTGTCTTCCGGCTCTGGTTTCAGAATATCAAGGGATGATTGCCTAATTATTAAAATACACTGTATTTACGCTAAAAGTGCTCTATTTTCGCTGAAAACGCTAAATCATAGAGATAAGGCTAAGTATTTGTGACACTCATATCTTGCTGTGTGTTTATCCGTTTGGAGCGTATTATATCTCGTTGGAAAGATAGATCGGATCTTTAAAGCTATTGCTCCAACTTCATTTACAATGCATTAATTAAAAGTTTCAGATTAACCATATATTCACAAATATTTCTGATTTCACTCCGAACTCGTGTAGAATTTGAGGCGATCACATCTTGCTCTATTTTGTGCCGTTGAAAGCGTTTAATATCTCGTTGGAAAGATCTTACCGAGTTCTAAAACTTGTCTTCAGGCGCAGGTTTCAAACTATCAAGGGATGATTGCCTAATTACTGAAATACACTGTATTTACGCTAAAAGTGCTCAATTTTCGCTGAACACGCTAAATCATAGAGATAAGGCTATGTATTTGTGACACTCATATCTTTCTGTGTGTTTATCCGTTTGGAGCGTATTATCTCTCGTTGGAAACATAGATCGGAGCTCTAAAGCTATTGTTCCAACTTCATTTACAATGCATTAATTAAAAGTTACAGATTAACCATATATTCACAAATGTTTCTGATTTCACTCCGAACTCATGTAAAATTAACTGTGATCATATATTGCTCTATTTTGTGCTGTTGAAAGCGTTCAATATCTCGTTGGAAAGATCTTACCGAGTTCTAAAACTGTCTTCAGGCGCTGGTTTCAAAATATCAAGGGATGATTGCCTAATTACTAAAATATACTGTATTTACGCTAAAAGTGCTCTATTTTCGCTAAAAACGCTAAATCATAGAGATAAGGCTAAGTATTTGTGACACTCATATCTTGCTGTCTGTTTATCCGTTTGGATCGTATTATATCTCGTTGGAAAGATTGATCGGAGCTCTAATGCTATTGTTCCAAATTCATTTACAATGCATTAATTAAAAGTTATTGATTATCCATATATTCACAAATGTTTCTGATTTCACTCCGAACTCGTGTAGAATATTATGCAATCATATCTTGCTCAGTGTTGTGCCGTTGAAAGCGTTTAATATCTCGTTGGAAAGATCTTACCGAGTTCTAAAATTTGTATTCAGGCGCTGGTTTCAAAAAATCAAGGGATTGTTGCCTAATTACTAAACTACACTGTATTGACGCTAAAAGTGCTCTATTTTCGCTGAAAAAGCTAAATCATGGAGATAAGGCTAAGTATTTGTGACACTCATATCTTGCTGTGTGTTTATCCGTTTGGAGCGTATTATATCTCGTTGGAAAGATAGATTGGAGATCTAAAGCTATTGTTCCAACTTCATTTACAATGCATTAATTAAAAGTTACAGATTAACCATATATTCACAAATGTTTCTGATTTCACTCCGAACTCGTGTAGAATGTGATGCGATCATATCATGCTCTATTTTGTGCCGTTGAAAGCGTTTAATATCTCGTTGGAAAGATCTTACCGAGTTCTGAAACTTTTATTCAGGCTCCGGTTTCATAATATCAAGGTATGATTGCCTAATTACTAAAATACACTGTATTTACGCTAAAGGTTCTCTATTTTCGCTGAAAACGCTAATCATAGAGACAAGGCTAAGTATTTGTGACACTCATATCTTGCTGTGTGTTTATCTGTTTGGAGCGTATTATATCTCGTTGGAAAGATAAATCGGAGATCTAAAGCTATTGTTCCAACTTCATTTACAATGCATTAATTAAAAGTTACAGATTAACGATATATTCACAAATGTTTCTGATTTCACTGCGAACTCGTGTAGAATTTGATGCGATCATATCTTGCTCTATTTTGTGCTGTTGAAAGCGTTTAATATCTCGTTGAAAAGATATTACCGAGTTCTAAAACTTGTCTTCAGGCGCTGGTTTCAAAATATCAAGGGAGGAATGCCTAATTACTAAAATACACTGTATTTACGCTAAAAGCGCTCTATTTTCGCTGAAAACGCTAAATCATAGAGATAAGGCTAAGTATTCGTGACACTCATATCTTGCTGTGTGTTTATTCGTTTGGAGCGTATTATATCTCGTTGTAAAGATAGATCGGAGCTCTAAAGCTATTGTTCCAACTTAATTTACAATGCATTAATTAAAAGTTACAGATTAACCATATATTGACAAATATTTCTGATTTCACTCCGAAGTGGTGTAGAATTTGATGCGATCATATCTTGCCCTATTTTGTGCCGTTGAAAGCGTTTAATATCTCGTTAGAAAGTTATTATCGAGTTCTAAAACATGTCTTCAGGCGCTGATTTCAAAATATCAAAGGATGATTGCCTAATTACATAAATACACAGTATTTACGCTAAAAGTGCTCTATTTTCGCTGAAAACGCCAAATCATAGAGATAAAGCTAAGTATTTGTGACACTCATATCTTGCTGTGTGTTTATCCGTTTGGATCGTATTATATCTCGTTGGAAAGATAGATCGGAGTTCTAAATCTATTTTTCCAACTTCATTTATAATGCATTATTTAAAACTTACAGATTAACCATATATTCACAAATGTTTCTGATTTCACTCTGAACTCGTGTAGAATTTGATGCGATCATATCTTGCTCTATTTTGTGCCGTTGAAAGCGTTTTATATCTCGTTGGAAACATCTTACCGAGTTCTAAAACTTTTCTTCAGGCGCTGATTTCAAAATATCAAGGGATGATTCCCAAATTACTAAAATACACTGTATTTACGTTAAAAGTGCTCTATTTTCTCTGAAAACGCTAAATCATAGAGATAAGGCTAAGTATTTGTGACACTCATATCCTGCTGTGTGTTTATCCGTTTGGAGCGTATTATATCTCGTGTGAAAGATAGATCGGAGCTCTAAAGGTATTGTTCCAACTTCATTTACAATGCATTAATTAAAAGTTACAGATTAACAACATATTCACAAATGTTTCTGATTTCACTCCGA